GCCTCACTAAGTTCCTGAGGCTGGTCTTGAACTTGTGACCTCATGCCTCAGCCTCCCGAGTTGCTGGGATTATAGGCACAAGCCACCCTGCCACTGTAGCCCTGTTTGTAAGATTCAAAGGTAAGAAAMAACCCAAGGGTCCAACAGTGGGGACAACACAGTAAACTGTGGTCTGCCAAATACTGGGATTGAGTCAAGGCTTATGGACACATCTTATGGACACTTTGGACACAGCTGGCAGAGTAAGTTCAATGAGTCATCTGCCATCTCTTGGCTCAACAACCGATGAGCAGGCGAGTATGAGGGCTGGGCCCACGGGTCCACTTGCCTCGCCAGGCAGGGGTTGGGGATTCTGCTGAGTTTGTCCAGTGATCAAATGTAAGCTGAAGCTCACCTGGCCAAACCAGCTCAAGGATGTCACTTCCACTCCACATTCCTAAGGATACATGTACATTAAGTTCCTGTGCTTGGAGCCGACAATATAGTTCTTCGTGAGCCCGGCCAGGCCCTCCTGCCTCTCACCCAGTGTCCTCTGTGCAGCTGGCATAAATCTGACCACAGCAGCCTGCGGCTGTACAGCTCTCCACATGCCCTGGACTCTGGCTGCATTCCACTTAGAAATCTGTGCTGTCCTAGGTCCCGCTGCTTCTTCTGTCTCTAAAGGACAGCAAGGAGCTCTTTCATCCTTTAGGATCGCCCTCACTGCCCATCCACCTAGCTTTCACGGGTTCCCTCCAGTCAGGGCCAGGTGCCTCTGCTGGCTTCACTCACCCTACCCCTGACAGCTCCAGCCTGTCACTGATGGGGGACCTGCCTGTCACCTCACTGGACTATGAGAGCTCCAGGAGGGCAGGGCCCGTCTCAGTCATGGCAATGTCCCAGCCCTGCCYAGCAGCTGAGTCTGAACTCACAGACCACTCTGCAGGCTTTGCCTCCCACCCCCACTCCCAACCAAAGGATACGTGAGCCTGGTCGATCATGCACTTGCACAGGGTGAAGTCCGTGTGGGGCAGGTTGGTGAGGGCCTTCAACAGGATCTGGGCAGTGACGGTGGTCTGAAAGAAGGCTGGGTTGAACTGGTACCTAAGAAGGGAATAAGATATACAACAGCRGTGACAACTCCAACCCCCCAAACTTCACCAAGTGCCAGGCAGGAGGCCACTGCTTTAGTCTGGAGCCTGGGGTCAAACCTGCCTGGGCTCYAACCCCAACCACATTTTCTGGCTAATCTCCCTGAGCAACCCTGCCTACTCTGAAGATGGGGATAGTTGATCCTCACCACCACCCACAGGGCAGACACAGCCACGAGCCTCGCAAAGAAATGAGGCTAGAAGCAAGCTTGGCACAGTGGTCATGCCTATAATCCCAGGGTGCCCTCGATTATAGGTCATGCCTATAATCCCAGCAACTCCAGAGGCTAAGACAGGAGGATGACAAGTTCAAGTTCAGCCTCAGCAACTTAGTAAAATTCTAATGTCACAAAATAAAAAATAAAAAGGGCTGGGGATGTAAACTAGTAGAAAAGCACCTCTGGGTTCAAGTCCCAGTAGTCAAAAAAAAAAAAAAAAAAAAAAAGTAAATGAATCAAGGCTAGAAGGAACAATGTGGAGTAGTGGTTATGGCTCCACCCAGGCTCCCTTGGCCAGCTCCCGCTGGACTGCTTATTTCAAATTCTCTGTGCTTCAGTTTTCTTTCAATAGAGGAAAAAACTGAAGGTACAGCTCAGCRGTAGTGTGTGTATTTAGCCTGTGAGCCCTAGGTTCAATTCCTGGTGCAAAAACAAACAAAAATAAGATGAACCCATATCAACCTCCCAGGGAGGCCCAGSAGTGGGCTCGTGCCTGCATCCGCAGCACAGCAGCCGACACATGGCGAGCACTCATCCAGCAGTGGCAATCACCAGAAACAACCTAAACCACCCACATATACAAGTAGTCTCTCCATTTTACAGCCAGGAAAGCTAAAGTTATGTCATCTGCAGAAATTACAAGCTGATAATTGTTATAAATAAATAAATAAATAATCAATCATTTGAGGGGGAAAAACCCAAGTATCCATCAACAGGGAACAGACCATCAGGACAGTCACATAGTGAAACACTACACAACAATGAGAATAAACTGCAACCACACACACACACACACACACAAATGGATGGGTGTCACAAATCCAACGCTTGGTGAAAGGTACTAGGTGCAAAAGGGGCTCTGCTGTATGATTATGGTCCTGTCAAGGTCAAAGCAAGCAAAATTGAGCTAAGCAGATCCAGATGCAAGCATGTGTGGTAAACAACCATGAAAAGCCACACCATGAGACTATGACAATGGTTACCAAAGGTGAGGGTTTGGTTGGGATAGAGCATATGGACAAAGGGCCTATGGTGCTTCCGACAATTACACAACATGAACAGTGGAAACCTGAGTATTCATTCACATCCGTTAAACTAAGTGTGTTTTACGTACTACCTTGTATGTGTTTTGCAACTAATTTTTTTTTAAACTTCCCTCACCCTAAATGTCTCATCTTCCTTGGCTTGCTAGTCTTGCACACCAAAGAGAAGCCACATCCTGCAGGCTACTCCAGACACCCCTACTGCCATGCCCCATACTGGGACTGGAACCCTGCTAGCCAGCCAACAGCATGGGGATAGGGACAGGACACTCACAACTTCAGGACAGCCAGGTTGGCTTCCAAATCATAGGCATTCTCCTTGGCCTGGGTCTCCACATAGCGCTCCAGGGTGGCCAGGTTCTCTGGATTGTACCTAGAGGAGAATTGAAGTGGGTGAATAAAGAGGAGACAGGAGCTGAGGCCAGTCCCTTTGTGGGGCCAAGGGGCCACTGTAATCTGCTTCTCCTTTCTTTCCCCTCTGAATCTGGTTCTGGCCACTGGCTCTACCCAAATAGCAAGTCARCTTTATAACCTCTAATAAAACCTGTCCATAACCCATACCTCTTGCCTAAGCTCTAAACCCCACTGGAGCCCTGGGGCTTGTCTAGCACGTTTCCCAACTTGCCAGGCAGTCACTGTTGCCTGTATACATAGTCTTCTGAAATTCTCTGCTACCCAACCCTGTCAAGCTCCCACCAGTCCAAACCATACTCTCTTGCTTCCTCTATTTCAGCCCTGAACATTTGGGCCTTTGCTTTCCCCTGCCTCGCCCTGACCACTCCTGGCTATCAGTGCTTGTTGCTTGTGTCCCCTCTGGAAGGAGAACTCAGTTCATGAAAGCATGACTTGTGGCTGTCTTGGTCGCCTCTGGTTTCTAATACTACTGAGCACTAACACAAGTCGGTAAACAGGTGTTGAATGAATGACCTGAGGGGCAGAGGAGAAAGAAATGCTCGGGCACCGAGACCGAGGAGCTGGTAGAGGAAACTGCGGGGGGCTGAAAGAGGGACGGCCGAGGGAGAGGAGGGAAAACTTTAAAGTAATCAAAGACATGCGTGAGCGACAGGCTCTCTTATTAGGCCTTTCCGGTGTCTTTTCCTTCAACACCTCCTCCAGGACGACCTCCCCACATGCCGAAAGACGGAGAAATCCCGGCCAAGGCAAGCCCAGAACTCGGACCACCCCTTGCGGTCTCCGGAAATCTCCACCCCGCTTGGCTACAGCGCTCCCTCCGACCGAGCTCCGACCTGTCGATACCCTTGAGCAACTTGCCCACGTTCGCTCTCATCTGCTCAAACATGGCCATGACTCCGGGCGCCTTCCACAACCACCGCCGGAGTCGAACGCCAGCCCGGGGAAGCACCCGCGAGGGCCGGAAGAGGAAGAGGTAGTGGAAACGGAAACTACGTCATTGCTCTCGCTCCAGAGCCGGACAACGAAGAAGGGGAAGGCTCTTCCGGCAGCTGCCACGCTTTCCGGCTGCCACGTGATTTCTTCCCAGAAAGCGTAATTGGCGCGTGCGCACTCGCTCCACCCGGCGGAGAGAGMTAACAGCGTGAGAAAAAGCTTAGTCTACCGCAAAGCGCAGGCGCTTGCTCTGGGGCAGTAGGCGGGGCTAAGCTTTCCCGGGTTTGCAGGACCCAGTCCCGAGCCCGGGACGCGCGCGTGCACGAATTTTTCAGAAAGGAGACCGAGCTTCCGACGGCGCGCGCGCACGTTGAGTTGCGCACCGTAATCTCACAAACGTAGTAGTCCTTCATTTGAGCCATGGCCAACTCCCTATGGAAATGCTCTTGAAAATTCTTCTTGCCTCAGGCTTGGGCCCCGGAGGCCGGACCCAGCTTGCATACCTGCCCAGTTTCAAGTCCTGGACCCTTGTCTCCACCCTTCACCCCAATTTCATGAGTAGGGAACCATAAAGCTATTGTGCTCTGCCGGGAAATTCGGGATCGAGCCCAGTCTCCGTTAGGCTCCAGACTGGGGACAGAGGCGACCGCCCCATGTGTGCCGTTATGAATTGTTTGTGTACTGATTCTGTGCACTGCAGGCGTGAATGCACAGACATGTACCATGAATGAGTGAGTGTATGTGCTGTGAGGACATACACATGTGTACACACGGGTATTCAGGCATGTGCACTGCCCCTGCACCGCCAAGGGCATGCAGGAGCTGAAACTTTTAAATGCACGTACTTTAAAGGTGAACAGAATGTGAGCTACATAGCGTTCCTATGCAGACCTGCAACCTCTTCGTTGTGGTCAAACTTTCAAGCACCCAGCAGAGTTCCACTATGGTTTGTAGCCCCACCCAGAACGGGAGCAGGGGGTGCACCCTCTACCCTCAGWAGAATCAAGACTGTTTGCATCTCATTTACATCCAGCCCTGGGCCATAGAGGTGAAAAGGAGGGTCCCATGGGTCCCCAGGATCTGAGGTCCCAGGGGACAGGGGGGTGGAGCCCGTTGCACAGTTCTGCAGCTAGGGCAGGAAGCGAGAGTGGGGAGGGGGAAGGCCACAGCCCTCAGAGGCAAGGCGGGAGCAGGGCTTGTGGGGAGGGAGGGAGGTGCCAGCGCTCCTAGCTCCAGCCCTGAGGCCCTGCTGGCCCCTGGGCGCAGGCCTAGCTCAGGCCTCCAGGGATGGAGCTCGTGGACCCCGACATCTTTAACAGGGATCCCCGGGACCATTATGACCTGCTGCAACGGMTGGGTGGCGGCACCTATGGGGAAGTCTTCAAGGTGAGGAAGCCCCTTGGTCTCCGTCACCCTCAAACCAGTGATCTTTAAGTTGAAAATCAATAAGGGATAGGGTGCAAGAGGGTCCCAGTCCTTGGCCTTGTGGAGGGATACTGAGAAGGACTCAGCGATGGAGGCGCTGAGAGCCAACTTCCCCTTTTCCAGGCTCGAGACAAGGTGTCCGGAGACCTGGTAGCACTGAAGATGGTGAAGATGGAGCCTGGTGAGAGGGGACCCAGAAACTCCTTCCCCAACCCACCCCCACYGGCTGGGGGGTCCCCGTTCCCTTCCAGTGACTCCCTGCCTGAAGCCACCTTTTTCTTCTGCCTCTCCTTGCAGATGATGATGTGTCCACCCTTCAGAAGGAAATCCTCATGTTGAAAACTTGCCGGCATGCCAACATCGTGGCCTACCATGGCAGTTACCTCTGGTGATCAACCTCAGGGACCCAGCCCAGCCCCTAACTCAGAGTCCTCACTTCTGATTAGACACCCCCTAACCTCATCCCCTGTCCTGACTTCCGCTTTTGACCCAGATACCCTAACCTGACTCCAACCTTGGACTCCCACTTTTAATTGGAGCACTCCCTAGGTTGATCCCCAGACCAAAGTCTCTGACCAGGTCTCTCCTAACTTAATTCCCAATCCAGAACTCCCATTTCTGACCCAGGGTCCCATTTCTGATCCCTTTGTATTAACCACATCTGAAATCAACTCCCTTCAAATAAATCTCTCATTATTCTGCCCTTTGGGTTCCCCAGTTTTATTCTTCTCCTTTAATAAGAACCCCTAAATTCTCTGACCTCCAAAATAATGTCTCTGCTGCCCCAATAATGACCTCAGTTCCCCAGATCTGACACCCTGGGCCTGTCTGTCCCATCCAAGCCTCCACAACCTGCATCTCAGCTCTGTCTTCTCAGAAAGCCTAGGACAGCAGAAGGGTGCCCTGGATTTGAAGCCCAAAGACTTAGGTCCAAATGGAATTGTCCAGAAAACAGATTTCCTGTCTGACCCCTGATTTCCTTCTCTGTAAAATGGGATTGAAACAGTCTTACTCTGGTGGACAAGGGGAGACAGTTGACACCTGTACATTCAAGTTCTAATTGAGCTAGAACAAGACGGTGTACCAGGGGCTGTCTCCTATAAATAATAATATAGTTACTCTTGAACTTTCATAGGTTGCAGAAGCTCTGGATCTGCATGGAATTCTGTGGGGCTGGCTCTCTCCAGGACATCTACCAAGGTTAGAGGAGGGACAAGGGATCTAGGCCCCCTTGACCCTTCAAATCCAGCTTTCCTGTTCAGTGTCTCAGTGTTTGTGTTCCTGGGAACTGTCTTCCTGTTCCACGTTTCATGCAACAAGCCCCTCCCTGTCCTGGGCCTGGCCTGGAGGATGCTGAGGAACCTGTAGTGACTGAGCAGGTGGGGACCCTGCTGTCCAGGCTCAGTCTTTCTGTATGCAGTGACGACACCCCCCCCGCCCCCGTCCTCCTTCCCTCGATGTCTCATCAAATGAGTGAATGGATTTCTGGTTCTCTTCCTCAGCCTGCCTTTTAGTCTCAGAAAATTTGAGAATGGGGTGGGTGAGCTTCTGATGGTCATTACCTTTCTCTCTTTTTTCTTTCTTCTCCTACTTTTTTTTTTTTTTTTTTTGGTGGTGGTGCACAGGGAACCCAGGGCCTGATGCATGCTGAGCAAGTGCTCTCCCACTGAGCTACTCCTCTCTGTATTTCTGAGTTTGCTTCTGTCCTCCATGATCCCCTAATTCCCTCTAGCTCAAGACCTCAAAGGTCAGAAAACGAAGGACCTAATTAAGAAGCTCTCAGGGGGCTGGAGGGTAGCTCAGGGGTAGAGGCTTGCCTGGTGGATGGAGGCCGGGGGTTCCATCCCCAGCACAGCAAAAGAAAAAACCCTCCAAAGAGGGGGAAACTGAGGCCCACAGAGAGGAAGTGACTCACACAACAGGTCTCTCAGGCCTGGTTTCTGTGCCTCCCCTATCTCTTGTCTCTATTGTCCCCTTTACCCCTCCAATGTCTCTCTCTTTCAAAATGTCTGTCATACCGCGTTTGGTCTCTGCCTGGCTCTTTCTGTGTCTCAGTTTGGCTCTGTCCCTGTTTCTGTCTGTCTCTGTCGCTCTCTGCCATTCCTCATTTTGCAGGCAGTCACGTCACTCTCCTGTTGGGAGGCCTCCCAGGGCTCCCGTGTCCCTGTGAAGCCCCAACTCCTCGTGGCCTTTGCCCTGGCCCTGGTCCACCCAAGCCGACCGGCCTTTCTCCGATGGCTTTTCTCCTCCCTGCTCTGTCCCCCCACTTGGCCATTTTTCAGCCCCAGAAACAGTCCTAACCACCCCGCATCCCTGCCCTTGCTATTCCTCTTCTCCTTCTGAGGAGGTCCCTCATGTCCCCCGCTGTCACTTTCGTAGCTTTATGACATCGTGGTGTAAAATGTCATAGTCTTTCCTACACATATTTCCTGTTATCTTTATCGCTCTGTTTTCCTGTTTATTGTTTGTGGGTGCATACATGGGTGCATACCCATGTGCACATATRTAAAATTTTCCCCCACTGGTGCTGGGGATTGACCAGGGCCTGGCACATGCTTGGCAAGTGCTCTACCACCAAACCACAGGCCCAGCCCCATGTGCTGTGTGTTTTACTTGCTTATCATCTGTCTCCCCCACTGGAACGTTCTCTCCACGAGGGCAGGCATGTGTCTCTTGGTCACGGCTGTGTCCTTAGATGTACACAGTAGACGTAAATAACATCCAGTGACTGTCTCCCTCTGGCCTGTGTCCGTGCATCACAATCTCTCTCCCAGCCTTGTGACCTCCCGGCCTCCCCTCGGCCTCCCCTCAGCCTCCCTCTCTGACTTCCCACCTGTCCCATCCTCCTGTGCCCCCTCCCTCTTGGGCACTCTCTCAGCTGGTGTGGGTAGGTGGAGCCAGGGAACCCCCAACTCCACCCCCACTTCCTGGCTCCCTGTCCAACACCTGGCCTGGCCGGGGTGACCTTTGCAGTGACTGGCTCCCTCTCAGAGCTCCAGATCAGCTATGTCTGCAGGGAAGTGCTCCAGGTGAGGAGAGGCCTGGGGGGCCCTGGGGGCGGGGCTTGCTTCAGCCCGCAGCCCTTCCCAGCCCCCTTGTCTGCCTCCTCCCCAGGGGCTGGCCTACCTGCACTCACAGAAGAAGATACACCGGGACATCAAGGTGGTCTGGGGGTGAAGRTGACACTAGGGGTGGAGCCCGGGAGGCGGGAGTGGCTCTTGGGGGGCTCAGGGATAGGGCAGCTTGCCCTGTGGAGTGCAGGACCAGGCGATGGGGCAGCAGTGGCTGGAGAGGGGGTCTCTGACAGCATCGCATCCTTCCTCTTGTGCCCAGGGAGCCAATATCCTCATCAACGATGCTGGGGAGGTCCGACTGGGTGAGTGTGGCTGTCGGGTGTGAYAGGGAGCTAACTGGCACCCAGGGGTATTGACATGCTGTATCTCTCCCTCTGTCTCCAGCTGACTTTGGGATCTCGGCCCAGATTGGGGCGACGCTGGCTAGACGCCTGTCTTTCATTGGGACACCTTACTGGTGAGGGTCCCCCCCCAGGCTTGGGGGGTGTTCCTGCCCTGGCTCCTGAGACTCTCCTTCCAGCCTCATTTCCAGCCCGACTACCCCATGGGATCCTCTTGGCTCTCCGCGTCTGTCTGTCCCTTTTCTGCCTTTTTCACCCTGATTTTTTTTAATATTTTTTAAATTTTTAAAAATATTTATTTTCTAGTTTTTGGTGGACACACACATTGTTTTATTTGTCTGTGGTGCTGAGGATCGAACCCAGCGCCCCCTGCAGCCAGGCGAGCGCGCTACCGCTAGAGCCACATCCCCAGCCCCATGTTGGTTTTTATCCTGATCTTTTGATCTTTTTCTCCAGGTCTATTTCTGAATTTCCTCAGCCTGTGGCTATCTCTGTGTTTCTGTCCCCCACCCCATAGAATTATTTATTCATTTTGGGGGGGTGCTGGGGATGGAACCCGAGGCCTCACACATGCGAGGCAAGTGCTCCGCCCTTGAGCTGCACCCCAGCTCTGTTCCTGTGCCTCTCACTCTTGTCCCTCTGTTGGTCTCTGCCTTCCCCTCTCTCTCTCTGCCTTTACCTCTYGGTGTCCATCTTTGTTTCTGTGGCCCTTTCCATCTGGCTGTGTGTCCACCTCCCCTCACCCATACTTTGCCTTTCCCCTCCTGTTCTGCTCCATCCTGTGCCATCTCTGGCTCTCTGAGACTCTCTGCCCCCAGGATGGCTCCAGAAGTAGCTGCTGTGGCCCTGAAGGGAGGGTACAATGAGCTGTGTGACATCTGGTCCTTGGGGATCACGGCCATTGAACTGGCTGAGCTGCAGCCACCACTTTTTGATGTTCATCCTCTCAGGTAGGCAGGTCCCCCTAGTGCCCCTGAAGGAGTCGCCCAAGGGTCCCCCAGCACCGAATGCCTTTTCTTCAGCCATCAGGTCTGGCTCCCTTGGGGGTCTGAACCCCATGTGCTTCCTCTGCTATTCTAGAGTTCTCTTCCTCATGACCAAGAGTGGCTACCAGCCTCCCCGGCTAAAGGAAAAGAGCAAATGGTAAAGGAGGGTCATGTTGAGGGACAGGGTGGGCCGGGCCAGGGCTGGAAGGTCTGATGGGAGAGGCCTCTAGTCTCATCCCGGAACCTGGCTTCTTCCTCCAAGGTCAGCTGCCTTCCACAACTTTGTCAAAGTCACACTCACCAAGAGCCCCAAGAAGCGACCTGGAGCCACCAAGATGCTCAGTGTAAATCCCTTTCCCTGAGAAGCACCCCACCCGCTCCCCGGTTCTCCCAGCCCAGGATTCCTGCATTCATAATTTAGTGCCACAGACCCCCGTGGCCCGTCAAAATTTCCCAGAACCACTCCAGACCCTCCAAATCATATCCCCCAGACTTTTCTGAGACCCCTAATTATTAGAACTCATGAATGCCCAAGGACCCTAGGACCCATTCCTGAGAGTCCTCTGGAATTCCAAGGAAAGGCTGATCTTTCTAAGGCCCCCCTGGAATTCTCCAGGCCTCCCTGGAGGGCCCTGTATTCTTCTAATCCCTTAAAGCTTCTCAGAGTTCTGCACATTTCCTGCCTTCTCCCCCAGCAGGCCCCTGGGGCAGCTCTCAGGCCCTGTCCCCACCCTTCCCGCCACCCCAGCCCTGGTCTCCTGACTCCCTCTTCCTTCCCCAGCACCAGCTGGTGTCCCAGCCCGGGCTGAGTAGGGGCCTGATCCTAGATCTTCTGGACAAAATGAGGAATCCCGGAAAGGGGCTCCCCATTGCTGAGACTGAAGATGAGGATCCCGAGGTGAGGGTCCCGGCTGCCACGAGGGCAGGACCCTCCTGGCCTTCACCCAGGCCCATCCCCTGCTGCACCTCCCTTAGGATGGATGGGAAGAGGGCGGGAGGCAGGGAGCTCTGCACAGGGATGGGTGCAGAGGGTCGTGGGAGAGAGGAAGGCTCGCGGCTGGACCCAAGCTGCCGGTGGGGGCTGCTTGGGGGCCATGAGCCCTGACTTGGCACCCTTCCACCCAGCCACCCCCTGCCATCCCTCGGCGTATCAGGTCCACCCACCAGTCCAGCTCTCTGGGGATCCCAGACGCAGATTGCTATCGTGAGTAGAAAATCCTACAGTTTGGGGACACCTGATAGATCCTATAATAGATCCAAGAGACCCCCTTTGCCTACCATCAGGCCACCAGAGACCCTTATCACCATCTGATCTCACAAGAGACCCAAAGAACCTCATCAGAGACCCCAAAGAACCTTATCACCACTTGACCCACATAACAACCATAGAGACCCCCACCCCTCCGAACTGCAAACAGACCTCAGGAGGCCTCCCATCCACCAAGGAGACCTCAGGAATCTCTCAGAATCCTTGATACCCAAATGGATTCTTTTTTTTTTTTTTTTGTACAGGGGATTGAACTCAGGGGCGCTTAACCACTGAACCACATCCCCAGCCCCCAAATGGATTTTGAAAACACTCTATAATTACTTTGAGCTCTTCTATCTCTCTGATCCCAAACACTGACCCCCAAAGTGAGACCTCTGTAAGCCAAGACCCTTCCTCTAAGGGACAGTACCAACCCCTGAGATCCTGACTCTAACCTCCCCCCTCTTCCTCTTCCCTCTTGCTGCCTGCTCCTGGCTCACCGTTATCTTCCTCACCGGCACCCAGGGAGGCACATGGAGTTCAGGAAGCTCCGAGGAGTGGAGCCCAGACCCCCAGCTGACAGCACTGTGAGACGCCCTCCCCCTCCCCGAGGGCCCCCTCCCCTGGGCGTGGCTTACCCTTCCCTGTCCCACAGGCTCGCCTGCAGCCACCCGCAGACTTCAGGAGCAGCAGTCCCAGGTCAGGCCCCTGGGGTGGGAGGGGAGGGCACTGGGTGTACCTGGGAGCTGCCTGAAGCTCAAGCCTGTCACTCTTCAGGAGCCACCTGTCAGAGTCTGATGATGATTACGACGATGTGGACATGTGAGAAGCCCAGCCCCAGGCCCTCTCTCAGCCCCAGCTGCCGCACATGCCCAGTTGACCCTACCTTCCTTACCCCTGGCCCTTGAGCCCCGACCTGACCCCCAGCGCAGCCCCTACCTGCCCTCACCCTAGGCTTTGCCCCAGTTCCCTCCAGGATGTCACCTGCCCCAGTCACACATCTCTCCCCACCTATTCGCTCAGCCTGGTCCTTCAGCCAATCCCAGGTGTAGCTCCCAGATGGGTGGGTCCAGCCCCCGGAGAACCCCCGAAATCAACTCAGCTCTAGCCCCAGCCTCAGACCTGATCCTTTGGTGTCTCTCACCCAACCTCTAACTAAAACTCAGTTCCTGAAAAATCTCCCCTGAGCCCCAGACCCGGAGCTGCACCCTAGCGTCACTCCACCTTCCCCAAGTCCCGGCCTAGGGCAGCCCAAGGCCCACTCCACAGGCCCTCCACACATCTCGTGTGCAGTGGGGGCAGTCGCAGAGTGAGACCTGCATCCCGCCAGGGCAAGCTGTCTTCACTGGGCTTCAGGAGTCAGAGGCTCCATGTGTGGCCAGTGCTTCCCGTCCCAGGGTTGCTGTCACTGTTGTCGCTGAGGCTCTTGGTCCCGTAGTCCTCAGCTCCAAGGAGACCCAGTGGCCCCCTTCCCTCCTGGCCTCCAGCCCCAGGTCTTAGCCTTCTCCCGCACCCCGCCCACTTCCCCCCCACTGTGTTACAGCCCCCCCTCTGCAGAGGACACTCCCCCGCCACTGCCCCCCAAGGTAAGGCCCTGCAGGCTGGTAGCCAGGTCCTCAGATGCAGGGACGCTGGGCTGTCCGGGGCTGTGAGTCTGGGAGTCCTGGACAGTGGATCCATTCAGACCTAGGTGTCCCTCAACCTAGGGATGGGGTATTTAGCTTGGCTTCGTGGACACTGGTCAGTAGCTGATCCTAGGAGTGCCCTGCCACCCCCGGCATTAACCTTTGGTTTCTGGAGTGTGTTGCTGTCTGGGGATGGGGTGTCCAGGGGAARCCGGGGGCAGATGCAGAACACGGCGGGGAGGGTTAGAGCCATGGCTGGTGCAGTCTGGGGGAGGTAGAGTTGGGTGGAGAGGGGTCCTCTCTCTGAGATCATCTAATGTATGTCCTCCGTGTTCTTCTCCTGTCTCCAAAGCCCAAGTTCCGTTCTCCATCAGATGAAGGTCCTGGGGGAATGGGGGATGAGGGGCAGCTGAGCCCAGGGGTGCTGGTCCGGTGTGCCAGTGGACCCCCCCCACGCACCCCCCATCTTGGTCCTCCCCCAGCCACCCGCAGCCCCCACCTCACTGCCCATTCAGGTAACAGGGTGGACCGGGAATGGAGGGTGAGCAGGGACGGGGGTCCTGGGGGCTAATTTCCTCCCACCCCCTCTCAGAGCCCTCACTCTGGAACCCAGCTTCCCGGGAGCCTGACCAGCCCCCACTGCTGCCCCCTAAAAAGGAAAAGATGAAGAGAAAGGTGAGGCCAGCTGTGTGCCTTGGCAGGGGGCCGGGACGCCCAGGCTGTATGGGAGGGCGTTGGGAGGACTGATAGTCATAACGAGGGACATTTGTTGTTGAACACTTCACTTCTTCTGTGCCAAATGCTGAGACCTTGTCTTTCAGTAGTATAACCCTTCAGAGACAGGCAGCCATCACAGGTCAGTGCAGTCCCAGCCATTCAGAGGCTAGGGCAGGAGCATGAGTTTGTGAGGTTGAGGCCAGCCCTGGCAACCGCGTAGGGAGACTCCAACTTACACACACATAGGAAATAGATATCCCAGGGGTAGAGATCCTTGCCGGTTCACGGATGGGGAAACTGAGGCACAGGGCAGGWAGGTAGCTTGCSCAGGTGGTTTATATAGCAGTGCCCCTTATCCATGGGGGTTATGTTCTAAGACCCTCACAGGATGCCAGAAACTATAGTATCAAACCCCACATATGTATTTTTCTTATATACACATAATTATGATGTTTGTTTGATGAATTAAGACACAGTAAGAGATTAACAACTATAATAATMGACTAGGATAACTTGAACATTACACTGAAATGAAAGTTGTATGAAACTTGTGATTTCTTCTTTATCCCTGGMATTTTCCATGTCATGTTTCTGGACCGTGGTTGGCCATGGGTATCTGAGACCATGGAAAGAAGACCGGGAATGGGGGTGAGGAGGCAGAGGTGGGGTTTGATCCCTGGCACTCYGGCGACAGAGTCTTAACCACTGCATCTTCCTGTTCCCCGCTCGCTTTGGCTGGATCTGCCGCCGGCCCCTCCACGGCCTGCCCAGGGATGTGCCCTTCTCGTAAAGCTGTTCAATGGCTGTCCCCTCCGGATCCACAGCACAGCAGCCTGGACACACCCCTCCACCAAGGGTGGGCCTTTCCTAGAGTCTGGCAGGGCCTGGGTGGGGTGGAGAAGCCAAGGGGTGAGGGGGCCCGCAGAGGAGCTTTAATGGCAGCTCAAGGGCAGGGACAGGGGAGGGTCTTGGTGGGGTGGGAGTGGCAGGGCGGAATTACAGTGGAGACCACGACTGCATTTGGCTTTGAGGATCCAAGAGGGGAAGAAGAAAGAGGAGTTGGAGAGTTAAAACTGGAAAAATTAGAGTTTGGGGATCAGGGTACCCAAATCTCACAGAAAGGATAGAGTTTGGGGGACAAGATGGATGTACAGAAGGTCAGCTGGAGGTTCATGATAGACTGTGGTCAGCATTTCGTGGTTAGGAGCTTTAGAGATCAGAAAGCTACAGAGAAGAAGAGTTTGGGATCAAAGATGTAGAGATAAAGGGTCAAAGTTAAAGGAACAGCGTCAGAGTTCAGGGGTGATGCTGGACAGATAAAGTTCAGTTGAGTTGTCAGAGTTTGGAGATCAGTGTGAAGACAGACTAGCAGCTGGAGGTCAGAACTGGGGCAGGCTATCTGGGGAGGCAGGTCTAAGGTTGGGGGAGGAACTAAGGAGACAGGGCCAGTTCTGTATGTCAGAGAAGAACCACCTGAAAGTGGCAAGTCACTTTCACTTTCTCAGGGGACCCTGAGACTGGCTTAAGGGACTGGGCAGGGTTTGAGCTCAGATTGGGGGAAACAAAGTCTGGGATGAGAGAGAGAATAAAGGGCTAGAGCTGCAGCCTCAGGGCCAGTGTTTGGGTTCAGACAGGCGGGGATCTGGGAGGTCCCCAGGATGAGATAGGTCCCAGTGTCCTCCTGTCTGTCCTTTCCAGACCAGCACTTGCTCCTCGGGGCTGAAGAAGGCATTTTCATCTTGAACCGGAATGATCAGGAGGCTACGCTGGAGATGGTGAGGGAMGGGACGGCCCCAAGGGTTGGACAGGGCTGGGGGTGGGGGGCGCTAGGGTGTTACAGGAGCCATCTCCCCATCCTCTGCAGCTCTTTCCTAGCCGGACCACCTGGTTATACTCCATCAACAATGTCCTCATGTCCCTCTCAGGTCTGTCTGTGGGTTGTGGGGAGAGGCGGGTTCAGAAATTAAGGGCCAAGGTCAGGGGGTTGGGAGGTAGATGAGCAGAGTTTAACAAAATTTAGGCTGCCCTTGAACTGAGCCATGGCTTCAAATCCCACCCAGTTTTCCACCTTGGACATAAGGCAAGAGCCTTAGTTTCCTCGTGTGTAAAACAGAGCTGACGCTAGGCCTCAAGTCAGTCTTGAGGTAATTTCTACAATAAATTAGTGTTTAAATAGCTTCAATATTCAAATGGCCATCAGAAGTTATTCTGACTTTATTAAAATAAAACGAGCAAGTTATAGATTTTTAAAAATCTGTGTCATTGTTTTGTAAATATTTTGTGCAAAAGAATTGCTAGTTTTGAGAGAAACACCAAGTCAAATAGGATTCATGAGCCACTTAATGTCACATCTGTTATAACAGACTTTAGAATTTCTAGATTTTTTTTTTGTTAAACTTTAATATGTGTAACTCCATCTTACTGGTTAAATGTTCACAGTTTAATTTCTTATGTGGCCACAAGTACTATGAGGGTAGGGAACATATTCAGTACTTTTTACCGGAGCCAAGTACAGCACCTGGCCAACTCTAGGCCTTTAAAATGTATGGAATGAGAAAGGAATGAATGAAAAGCGCTCTCGATTTGCAGTTGTGGGAGTTTCAGACAAAGGTCTGGGGCCCCGTGAAGCGATGGGGGGGAAGAGGTGGTAGCGGGGTCCTATAACTGCTTCCCCCCACATACACACACTGCAGGAAAGACCCCCCACCTGTATTCTCATAGCATCCTGGGCCTTTTGGAACGGAAAGAGACCAGAGCAGGAAGCCCCATCGCTCACATTAGCCCCCACCGGCTATTGGGAAGGTAACAGCCCCCAAACGACACCCCAGGCCCTGTGATCTCCCCTCCCCCTGTTGTTCCCACCTGTTCACACCTACCTCTTCTTCCAGGAGAAACATGGTCTCCACCAAGATCCAGGACACCAAGGGCTGCCGGGCGTGCTGTGTGGGTGAGCCGGAACCCAAGGGGCGTGCCGGGGAGGCGGGGCGTGCCGGGGAGGCGGGGCGTGCCGGGGAGGCGGGGCGTGCCGGGGAGGCGGGGCGTGCCGGGGAGGCGGGGC